CTAGTCAGATATTACCGGTAATTCGTAGAGAAGGGGACTCTGGGTTTTGAATAGGTGGGTGAAATTAGAAATGTGTCATACCTAGAGAGTTTCAACATCTTCTCTGGGGAGGAAAGGAAGAATATGGTTAGCATGAGTATCAGGGCAGGATTTGGAGTCAACAGCAGGAATCAGCAGAGAAATCCCCAAGGACAGCAGCGGTTCTATCTTACCACATTTCGAAGTCTGTGCAGAAAACACATCCCTTGCCCACCCCAACCCCAAGGACAGCAGCGGTTCTATCTTACCTTGCCCTCCCCAATAACCCCCTGGAAGATTGTTAAACCCCCAGTTGAAACACACCACCAACTGCTATCTTTCCAGGAACACACCTGGGATAAGAATATTCTGCCCGCCCCCCCTTCATCCCCAGTTCCCTTGCTTGCCTCCCATTTTCCACCCCACCCCACCCCACCCTGGCCATGCTCTGCAGCTCCTTCCTCCTTTTGTTCCCCTCTCTTTCTTCCCATTCTCTGCCAGATCCAAGAGAATAAAAACCAAGGCCATAAAGCAAAGCGATTTACTGGCCTTAATTTGATAGGCTACATAAACCGTGTAATATAAACAACAGGGGCATAAAGGAGCAGCCAAAAGAGGTGGTTAAAGCGACAGGCGCCTTTTCAGGCCTTCCACCTCTGAAGCCAGGCCTTTTCTCCCCCTCTCTCCAAAGGTCTTTTGTCTGGCTTAATTGGGAGTCAGATGAGAGGCAGGGAGGAGAGCCGCCGCAAGGGCAGCGGGGACAGGAACCTAAAGCAGAGGAGGAAAGCAGGGCCCCCCATCTTTGTATCCCCACTACTTTATTTTTCATCTAGCTCTTTGCAGCTAAAACCAGAGCCAAGAGAAGCCAGGCTCTTACAAGCGCCAGAGAGACAACACTCTGTATACCCCACCCTAAATTCTGGCCTAAATTTAGCTGCTCTTTCCAGTTCATAATAGACCCACTGAATCCCTGGAATTTATACAAGGGTTGACTTATAATTTAGTTTCCAGTGGGGTAGCAATGTTAGTCTGTCTATTGCAGCAAAACCAACAAAGAGTCTATGGCACCATAAAAGTGATCATGTTGCACTAGGGATAAGCTTTCCTACATTGTGTGGCCCACAGAAAGTAGGCTACGAGCCAAGCCAAGGAATTTCTGCCGGATGAAACTGGTTAGTTTAAGGTGTCATAAGACTCTTGCACGTTTTTCTTGCCACATTCAGTGAGTCTTGTTGGAACCAGAGATGATTTAAGCCTTTATCATTAGGAGAAGCTAGAATGGGGAGATGCTTTGCACATTTTCATAAAGAAGCATAAAAAACACCAGGAGCTAGGTATCATGGTAGGGCAGGAGGACATGGCTTGGATGGTGCTCTGGAAAGAAGGCCGTGCTAAAAGACAAGGTTCAAATGAGAAAAGCGCTGAACAGCAGTACATGCTTTAGACCAGTGGCCCCCAACCTTTCTAACACCATGCACTTGGGGAGATGCTTTGCACATTTTCATAAAGAAGCATAAAAAACACCAGGAGCTAGGTATCATGGTAGGGCAGGAGGACATGGCTTGGATGGTGCTCTGGAAAGAAGGCCGTGCTAAAAGACAAGGTTCAAATGAGAAAAGCGCTGAACAGCAGTACATGCTTTAGACCAGTGGTCCCCAACCTTTCTAACACCATGCACCAGTTGGGGGAGGATGGGGTCTGTGTGCGGGGAAGGTGGAGCAACTTCCCCGCGCTCGTGAGCATGCATAAAGGTGCAGGGGGTGCTCATGTGGGCATGCACACACTTGTGTGCATGTGCAAAGGGGTGGAGGTGCTCAGGGTGCACACACACATGTGCACAAAGGGGGCACTCACGGGGCCAAAGGGGTGGAGGTGCTCAGGGTGCACACTCGCACATGCGCACAAAGGGGGCACTCACAGGGTGTGCATGCACTCATGCACATGCGCAAAGGGGCTGTGCAGGGAAGAGTGCATGCGGGGGTGGGTGGGAGATCTGTCTCTGTGGCCCAGTCTGGGCCAGGCCACGGACCAGGGGGGGTGGGTGGGAGATCTGTCTCTGTGGCCCAGTCTGGACCAGGACTGGGCCACAGACCAGGGGTTGGGGACCCCTGCTTTAGAGGGCATTGCGGAAAATTCAGGCCTGTGAATCCCTTCATGTTGGTCTCCTTCTTGGGGAACAGATGGGTCAAGAGTGGGTGTACAAGAGAAAGGCCCCAAGATAAAAAGAAATCCTCTCTTGTCCAGGGAGATCTGTCTCTGTGGCCCAGTCTGGACCAGGACTGGGCCACAGACCAGGGGTTGGGGACCCCTGCTTTAGAGGGCATTGCGGAAAATTCAGGCCTGTGAATCCCTTCATGTTGGTCTCCTTCTTGGGGAACAGATGGGTCAAGAGTGGGTGTACAAGAGAAAGGCCCCAAGATAAAAAGAAATCCTCTCTTGTCCATGGGCAAGAGAGGATTCAAACCCAGAGCATACATTGTTGTTGGCTTTTCTTGGCACCTTAATGTATGCAGTGTTATGGCTGCAGCTACTCAGTGGCTAAGGTTTCCATTATGCATCAGCTTTCTTGCTCTTAAAAAGTTGTTCTTAAGAGGAGATTTATAATGTTGGCTGCAAGACCCTTTTCTGCAGTTTGACAGATGCTGCCTAAAGGTTAGAAGCTCAGGAAGCTCAGAAGGCAATGGAGTGGGATATAGCTTCCTGTGGGCTGGGCGGACTGTTTGCTCTCTTGTTTTATTTTTAAAACCTGGTGGTAAAATGTCAACAAAGAGAATGTTGATAAACTTACTTCTGTCTTTTGTTTGCATGGGGGCATCATTTTTAAATTCTTCCATTGCCCTACTCTCTTATGCTGTCTTTATATACATCTTATGTGCTGTCAAATCAGTTCCAACTTACGGAAACCTTAGTAGTGTTTCACGTGAGATATTCAAGGAGTATTTTACCATTGCCACCCCCTAATGTATTTCCATGGGCAAGAGGGGATTCAAACCCAGGTTTCTTTAGACTGTGAGTTCATCATCATCATCATTTTAGAACTCCAGAGCTGGAAGGGAACCTATGGATCATCAAGTCCAGCCCCTATTAGGGAGGCCCAGTGGGGAATCAAACTCCTAACCTTTGGCTCCGCAACCAGAGACCTAAACCACTGAACTAAGCAATTCTTGACAGTGGTTAAGGATAGTTGTATTGCTAACAGAAGCTTCTCCTCCCCCCCCCTCAAGTCAAGACCCCACTGTACTGCTAACAGAAGCTTCTCTCCCCCTCCCCCCAAAAATGGGAAACTGCAGCACACTTCCATCGGACCACTATGTCAGATGTTCTATTTTGACGGATTCACAGCGTGCTGCTGTTCTTCCCCCATCTTTATATAACATGGAAGCTCTGAGGAAGAAATGGGAAGGAACCGATTGAATTTTGTGGCACCATAAAGCTAGGCCACGCTATACCACACAATTTGTATTGGTTTTGATGTGCCACACAATGGCGATGTTGACTGGCAATAATGAGAGTTATATTCAATATAACCTCACAAGTCCCCTTGTAATTGAATGACTTTAAGGCATATGCACAAGTTGCATGTAGCAATCTCATCGGTACAGATATCTTTTTGCTGGGTGGGGCAAGGAGGGGAATGGAGAAGTTTTATTTTTTTTTTAAAAAAAAACGATCAATATTTTCCTGCTAATTAAAGCTGTTGTTTTTAAAAGTATCCAAACCTCTGAGGCACTTCGCTGTCAGGTTTGGCACTTCTTAATGAGAGGAACAAGATGGTAGACAGACACACAACCTCCCAATTATATCTACTGTCTCATGATATCCATCGGTTGTTAGCGTGAACCAGAGCTGTACACTTTAGTGGCGCTTTCTTTCCTAGTATTATCTCTTCATTTAGAAGAATCTATACATAGGAGACTGACCATTCAGTCACGCAGAAGTAACCCAGCCTGGACTGTACCATTTCAGGCTGCAGGTTGGGGGAAACTATGTTGTTGCTTCTCTGAGAAGGGGGGAAAAGCCATTCTTTCATGCATAGAAATCTGGCTTATTGTGTAGAAGTGTTTCAGCCTAATTTTCATGATGGTTAGCACTTCTCATTCATTTGAGTGGGAAGGGAAAGCATTCAAGTATGCAATTCCGCACCTGTGGCCTGAAGTGGCACAGTCTGGGAGACAAAACCACCTACGCTTTCTACAGAAAACTCAACCTAGCAGCGCCCCAGAGACACAGGTTCCACTTGTGGATTCTGCTGCATTGAAGAGAATACATTATGCATATATTCCGAGGCCCATCCATCTGTCACGACATAATACACTATTTGTAACCTTCCCTTCTTCTAATGAGGTCATGGTGGTGTACCTGGAGGAGACAGATCCTATATTATCATTACAACCAATCTGTGAGGAAAGCAAATCTAAGAGCAAGGAGCACCAGCCCAAGAACACCCAGTGAGCTTTGTGCCTGAGTGGAGATTTGAACCTGGGTATCTACAACGGGCAAGAATCCCATAGAAGAAATGGAGTAGCCCTCATAGTCAGCAAAAGAGTAGGAAAAGCTGTGCTGGGGTACAGAGGACGAGATGGTTGGCAGTGTCACTGAAGCTACCAACATGAATTTGACCCACCTCCAGGAGGCAGTGGAAGACAGGAGGGCCTGGCGTGCTCTGGTCCATGGGGTCACGAAGAGTCGGACACGACTAAACAACTAAACAGCAACAACAATCTACAACCAAAACTTGTCATTTTAATTATTACATTATACTCTTGTTTATATATTATTTATTTATTTATTTTATTTTATTTTATTTTATTTATATCCCGCCTATCTAGTCCCTCAGGACCACTCTATTAGTTGCACTTGATGTATCCTAGGAGTGAAACATGGCTTTGAAAACAGGTTGAGAGCTAAGACTCAGTTGAATTAAATCATAGATTTAGGTAAGAAACGAATCCAACTAAAACCATAAAATCTTCTCTCCACAGGTTCCAGAGGCCTAACCCCAGGACAGAGCAGCCCCATCCAAACACCATGGCGACCACCTCACCAGCAGCTGCCATGGTGACGGCCACTGTGGTGACCACCGCAGCCGCCATGGACCTGCGTGACTGGCTTTTCCTCTGCTACGGCTTGGTGGCCTTCCTGAGCGAGGTGATTGACAGCACCACCTGCCCGTCAGTTTGCCGCTGTGACAATGGGTTCATCTATTGCAATGACCGGGGCCTGACTTCCATCCCAGCCGACATCCCGGACGATGCCACCACCCTCTACCTGCAGAACAATCAGATCAATAATGCTGGCATCCCCTCCAGCCTGAAGAAGAAGCTCAACGTTCAGGTTGTATAACTGGGGAACTTACATCTCATCTTCGTTAAATAAACTAATCCCGAACTTAGCCTAATGTCTTCCTCCCACCTTTGAGGTGTTTTTTTAAGAGTGGCAAAAAAAAAGATATATGTCTTTTCCTGTTCCTTCAGACAGTGTGTGTAAAAAAGTGGGAGAGTGATTTATGCAAGTGAGAGAGATGTGAATTATTTTTCATGTATTTAGAATAAGTGCAAAGAGGTTTTCTGCAGATTTCATGGGCTCGAATCACAGAGTTGCGAATGCTTCCAGAATCCAGAATAGTCTTGCAAACACTCCAACACGTGCCCAGGTTATGATGGCTTGCGGCACCCCCCAATTTTTGTTTATATTTTGGAACATCTCTCATTGATGGGTTTGTAATTTTGATATATCAAATTCTGTTAGGGAGGAAAAAAAACAGCAGCAAAGGAGGTCAGACTGCTTGTGTCAGGATGAGAGCGGCTCTCAGAAATATCTAGCAGAAAGGGGGGAAAAATCTCGCCCATATCCTGCTGCCTCTTTTAACTGGAGATGCCAGGGATCAAAGTTGTTGTTTCTGCCTGCCCTTTCCATTGAAGTAGAGTTACTCATCCACTCGCCCCCGGGTGGTTTTTGTTTTCGCTTTTAAAGGATACCATGAGATATCATACCACAAAGATATCATACTCAGTGGCAGAACACATATTTTAATTGTAACACGGTTCCATCTTCAGCTGCAAACCATCTGGAAGGCCAAAGGTTCTCCACCTGTCATTTAAATCATCCTCATTTACTACAGATTAAGGAATGCCCTGGATTGAATCCAATTGTTAATCCCAATGAGTCGAACCACTGAATGAATGAAACTTAATATCAATGTCTATGCAAATCCCACTGATTTAATTTGTCGATTTAATTTGCTTAATTTTTTAGGACATTTATTATAGTTGAGAACTGTTTGATTTAGACCTTTGTACCTGCCCAAGGCCCTTAATAACCCCAGCTAAGCAGAACAGAGCCTGCTCTCCCCAATCTGGCAACTTCGTCATAATGGTGAACTACAAATCCCAGCATGGGAATGTTGGAAAAGAGTTATATGTTGGGCAACAGCTCTCTCATCACCCCACAATGGAAATTAACCATCTAACAAACCATCTAACATATTGGGGGGGGGCACTGGCTTAAGATCTTTGGAAACCTATTATCTCTACCATACAATTTCGTGCTAGAGATTAAAGAGTTTTTTAGATGTTAAAACAACACAGACATATAAAACCCGTTTTGAAATTCCAAATACCATGCTCAGGTTTTATATTACAAATTAATTTGGTGTGATGTTGTTGACGTTAATGATAGAGGTGTTGTAGTTGTTATTGTTGTTTTAATTTTTGGAGGGGAGATGGGATTTGATAACATGAATATGATGTTTTAGCACAAGTCCAGAACTTCCACGTACAAAAAAAGAGGCATTTCAAACTTGCCCTTTAATACCAGTTGCCAGCAGAAAGCAGTATGTGATCAACTCAAGTGCTTTATCCCTATGATGAGTTTAGGATTTCCAAGGTGATGAAATGAGCCCCCATGTTTCTGGAAATCTCACCCGATGTTTAATATTTATATGCAATTTTCACTCTCTGCTTCTGCTATGCTGAATTTCCTGTTAATCCAATTCCCATCAGGTCATCTACCTCTATGAAAATGACCTAGATGAATTCCCCATCAATCTGCCCCGTTCACTGAAGGAGCTTCATCTCCAGGACAACAACGTCCGTACCATCGCTCGTGACTCCCTAGCCCGCATTCCTTTGCTGGAGAAGCTGCACCTGGACGACAACTCTGTCTCCACCGTCAGCATCGAAGACGATGCCTTTGCGGACAGCACGCGCCTCAAGCTGCTTTTTCTGTCTCGCAACCACCTCAGCAGCATCCCCTCTGGCCTGCCTCGCACCCTGGAGGAACTCAGGCTGGACGACAATCGCATCTCCACCATCCCGCTCCACGCCTTCAAGGGGCTGAACAGCCTTCGACGCCTCGTGCTAGACGGCAACCTCTTGGCCAACCAACGCATTGCTGACGACACCTTCAGCCGCCTGCAGAACCTCAGCGAGCTCTCGCTGGTGCGCAATTCCCTGGCAGCGCCGCCCCTCAACCTGCCCAGTGCTCACCTCCAAAAACTGTACCTCCAGGACAATGCCATCAGCCACATCCCCTATAACACCCTTTCCAAGATGAGAGAGTTAGAGAAGCTCGACCTGTCCAACAACAACCTGACCACCTTGCCCAAGGGTCTCTTTGATGACCTCGACAGCCTTTCTCAGCTCCTCCTGCGGAACAACCCTTGGTACTGTGGCTGTAACCTCATGTGGTTGAGGGACTGGGTCAAGGCCCGGGCTTCGGTGGTGAATGTGAGGGGGCTGATGTGCCAAGGGCCTGATAAGGTCAGAGGGATGGCAATCAAGGATATAACCAACGAGATGGACGAGTGTTTTGAGGTGGGCCCACAGAGCAATTCAGGGGTGGCCGTGGTGGCCAAGACAACCGCCAGCAACGCTGCTGTCACAACCCCGCAGGGCTCCCTCTTCACCCTCAAAGCCAAAAGGCCAGGCATCCAACTGCCGGATTCCAACATTGACTACCCCATGGCCACCGGGGCGGGAGCCAAAGCCCTGGTGCTCAACGTCAAGCCCCTGACTGCCGACAGCATCCGCATCAGCTGGAAGGCAATGTTCCCAGCAGCCTCCTTTCGCCTCAGTTGGCTGCGCCTGGGCCACAGCCCAGCTGTAGGCTCCATCACAGAGACCTTGGTGCAGGGTGACAAGACAGAGTACTTGTTGACTGCCCTAGAGCCCAAGTCGACCTACATCATCTGCATGGTGACCATGGAGACAGGCAGCACCTACGTGCCCGATGACACCCCGGTGTGCGCCAAGGCTGAGACAGCAGACATGTACAGCCCCACCACTACCCTCAATCATGAGCAGAACATGGACCCGTTGGCCGGGGTGCCCTTAGCAGGGATCATTGGTGGGGCCGTGGCCTTGGTCTTCCTCTTCTTGGTCTTGGCCGCCATTTGCTGGTATGTTCACCGGACAGGAGACCTGCTCACCCGAGAACGAGGCAGCCGGAAAAAAGACGATTATGTGGAGTCAGGCACCAAAAAGGATAATTCCATCCTGGAAATCAGAGGCCCTGGCTTGCAGATGCTGCCCATCAACCCTCACCGGGCAAAGGAGGAATATGTCATCCACACCATATTCCCTTCCAATGGAACCAGTCTTTACAAAAGCACCCACACCATCGGCTATGGCACGACACGTGGGTACAGAGACGGGGGAATCCCAGACATAGACTATTCTTATTCATGATGCAAAATTCCCCCTCCTCCCACATATATCCCCTCGTTCCCACCTCAACTTTCCCCTGTTTTTACTCCCTCCCTACCATTGCACCCCCAGGGTTTTTTGCGAAGATGGAACAAAGGAAAAAAAACAACAACTGCAAGACAAGAACTGTTTTCCAAGCAGAACCAGGTGGAACAAATGGGAGGGGAGGGGAAGGAAATTTTTTTCAAAAAAACAAAAAAGCCAACATCCCACAAACCTATTTTGTAGGGGAAAAAATAAGACAACCCCCCCGAGGTTTTGTTTTTTAAAAAAGTAGACATGAAGGAGGGGAAAGACATAATTTATATTTAATATACCAGATTGAAACAAAATCCAGCTCAGACCATCAAGGATATCTGGGAGGTTGTCATCCCCCTCCCTGAGGGTGGAGGGATGGTAAGGGCAAGACCTGGGGCAGGGGAAGAGAAAATGAAAAACAAAAATGCTACCTGTTTATCTTTCTTCCTGTATAAATCTTCTATTTTGTTCAGGGGTAGATTATAAAAAAACAAACAAAAAGATGAAAAAAGTTTTTGCTGGCAGTTACACTGTTTACTATATTGTGCAGGTGGGGAGGACTTGTGTGAAGCTACGACCAGGTTTTTCTTTCGTGTCCCATAACCCTGCTTTCCTTACAGGTTCTGAGTTTAATTGGGCAAAGTTGAACAACAAATAACCACGGGGAGGGCATTGCATTTAAAAAAAACAACAGATCTGAAACAAGATCATAACCACCGTCCTGCATACTTGACTCAGTTTCCCTCAGCCCCTTTCTCCTTCTTCAGCTCCCTACATCGACCAGCTTTGTTTTTCTGCTCAACGCAGACGGATCATAAGAATCGCCCTTCAGTTACGTCCTCTTCCTCATGCAACTGAGCCGTGGGACGATCATGCAACATTTTTCTCCTCATAGGAACAGTTCAATATGTAGCTCTTTCCTTCTTAGCAAAAACAAAACACCCAAGATCCCAGAAACTGACAGAGAGACAGAACAGGCGAGCGTCTTCCAACTAGCAAGAGGGTCCTTCCAAGGTGGGAGTTTCTGGAATCCCAAATGAATCTCAGGTTCCCATGGGTTATGAATGGTTTCGAAATGCTAACGGAGAGAAGAAAGATCTTTTCACATCAACTCAAAGACAACCCACGGATGACCCAAGATGAGTAAGAGGTCTGTTTGAGCTACACTTTTTCAGCCTTTTCTCCCAGGATTGTTTGTGGTGCCAGAGAAAGGAGCACACCTTTGGGGGTCACATCCAGGAAAGGTCCTGATCACAGAGTCTCTAAGGCTTGAAACCTAGCAAACCAGAAAGGAAGAAAAAGAAATGTCAGTGTCCATGTGCGGGTGACCCACCAAGTGTCTCATAACCACTTGCGCTTCTTCCTGTTTCCAGGGAAGAAGCAAAAGCAGGTGGTTTGCTGAGATCCTGAAGTGGGGCTGCGACACATGGGTGGTGGCATTTATTCATTGCGGGGATCAAAAAACATATATCAGGGCTTCCTGCAAGGTTTAATTTTTCTCCTGAGCAAATTTAAGAGACTCAAATTGCGGATACGGCAAGAAAAATTAAGATTTCTTCTCTACCAAGAGGCTTGAAGGCAAATAGCATATAAACACATCTCCACATATGGGGAAAGCCATTCTGTAATGGAGATGTTGTAACTGAAATGAAGATGCCGAGGGCCACACTGGATTGGTTCGAAGCTGAGAGTGAATGACAAGGAGAGTTCAGTCAGCCTTTGCATGCCCGTGGCTTGTTCTCACCTGTTGGAGTCAAGACAGCAGGGTGACTTATTTGTTGGCTTCAATTGTGCTTGTTGGATCTTTTTTTTTCTCCCTGGTGGTTCAACTTCTGTGTGATGGGCCATGTAGAAAGTGGCAACATGAAGCATACTTTGCTTACACAGGGCTATTGGTTTTGATCACCAGCACAGTCAACAGCTCACTTCCAGGAAGAGAGAGCAGGGAGAGTTGGAGAAACCCTCGGAGGACGAAAGTTCAAACTGGCTGAAGTCACGATGAGCCACTGGCCTGAGTTGGGATGAGGAAACTTCAAACTCCAATGTGGTTGTCAGCCTTGCACATGCCTGTTCTTTGCAAACAAGAAGATGTAGGTGTAGACTGATGAGATCCACAGTATTTATTTATTTATTTTATTTTTTGCATGGGTCTCCATGGTAGAGCCGGGTTGGACATGGTGACAAGAAAGAAAAGGTCCTTGGTGTTTGTTGGAAAGGATGGCAAAGTTCAGAAGAAAGATGTCACGCACACATGTGATGGAGAACACATTTATCAAGGACTATAAACCATGAGGAACCTCCATGTACAGTGGCACTCTGTGAGTACTAGAGGATAGGGACAAACAAGGGAGGCTATTGTCTTTTCAAGAGCACCAAGTTGGCTACCATCTATAACAGAACATTAGAGCTTGCTCCAGTGCACCAACACAGTCCTTATATTCTCAAAATTCAAACTAAAATTTATAAAAAAAACTTACTACATTTTTGTCACCCCCACCTCCAGTTTTCTAGGAGTCCTCTTGATTCTTACGCTTTGTTAATTTTGGAACAATTCCTGTCAAGCTTGACAAGCTACAGTATGTCCATAATCCCTACCCAATAATGGTCAGGCTGGGCATAATAAAGTGCAATTCTGTATTACTGGGTAAAAGGAGCAACACTTTCCATTTAAGTAAGTGCATCCTGAGCAAGATGGATCTCTGACCCCACACACACACACACCCCTCAACAAGCATGCCGGTTTTTACAGTCCAAAACAGGTATTCAAACAGCCGCCGTGCCAAGTTGGGTTTGGCTTGCTAGGTCATAGGTTTTACAAGTCTGCTCTAGGCAAGGCTGGATGTACCTGAAAGGATGTCCCCTTTCCATCTTGAACACACAACACCCATCTTCTTTCTGCACAAACAACTCTCCCACCGGATAGTGTAGGTTTCTGACTGTGGAGCCTAGATGTTGAGAGTGCAGTTCTCAAATGTGCCTCTTTGACAGGGCCTGGATCCATAGAGTCCCTTCCAGTTCTGGAGTTCTAAGATGATTATTGCAAGTTAATTAGAAGTCACTTTTCAGTGTCATTCATGCCTTTTCTCTCTCTTTTTTAAATTTTTTTTCAACATTTCAACTCCTTAATTTCCACAAGTGGCAATAAATAGGATTAACTTACTAACTGGAGAGCAGAGCAATAAACACACCATTAGAAGCATCTTTCCAAGGAGTTCTCTCCTTGCGAGCGGAACTGTCTTAACAGGCTAGCATTCCTTAATAGCAACAATAACAACTCCTCAGGGGGAAAAGCGCATTTTAAACAGCTTGTGACAAAACAGTATGACAAGGTGGAGTGTGGAGGGAAGCAAAAAGAGGGGAAAGCTTGAAAGCCTAGTCAGTCTTTGCAAAAAATGACAGAACAAACATTTGCATCCATCCGCTTTCTGACAAATGGTGCACTCCTCTCTAAATTACAACTCGTGTCCCATAATGCTATCAGCTGCCTTTTCTATACAAGGAGAGACAATCCCAGTGCAATCTTTATTGGCACTTTCCACATTCGATTGAATTGGTTTCCGCTCTGTGTTGTCAATGCTGCACATACAAGCATTTCACTACAGAGATGAAAGGATATATATAGCTAAGCTCCTATTGGCAAACAGCGAGTGTAACAGCCCCTGGCAGCTTTTAATACTTACATGCAGACTATGTAGGCCTCTAGTCTTTGTTTGTTGTGTTTTTACGTGACATGTTAGTTGAAAGATTTATGGGAGGCACTTCCCCATCCCCAATATTAGGGAATTCCAGGACACAACATTTCCTAGGATTATGGTGGGTTTTCTCCCCATCCCCTAAAATTGGGCTGCAAGAGACCTTTTCTCTCTCTAGTCCGGTAGTCCCCAACCTTGGGTCCCCAGAACTAAAACTCCCAGCTAGCTGTGCTGACCAGGATTTCTGGGAGTTGTAGTCCAAGAACATCTGGGGGCCCAAGATTACTGCTCTGGTCAGACAACATTAAAGTCCACCTGCCACAACAAGCAGGGCAGGAAAGCAAGCAGGAGGATCAGGTGGGAGATAGAGCAGTCTCCCTGTTGTTGTTCAATAGGCCGTGCAAAAGGAGGGTTCTCTGGATCATAAGCTCTGATCCAGCTTGCTTGCTTGTTCTTGCTTTCATCTTAAATTAGCACAGTCTTGACAATGTGCTACATAAAGTCACTGAGAGTGAAAGAAAGGCATGTTGAAAGCCTTTCTAAACAGCCACACTAGGTGCTGGATGGCAATACAAGTGGTTTCACTTAAACAACACTGGCATGGACTTTTTTATAAAAAAAATCAACACCCAGAGCCCTCCTTAGGCTTAGAGTTTGTTTCTAGCCTGGATTCCCAAGCCTCCAAGCAGCCTGGATAATCATGTGCAGAATTTGCACAAGTCAGTTATGCCAAGATCAGCACGAGGACAAAAGGTCTGTAGAAGGACAAACTGGAAACAACCACAAAATAGTTGTAGAGAGAGAGAGAAAGGAAAGGAAAGGAATGCATTGAGAAACAGTAATAATAATCATGCCATCAAGTCAATTCTTACTTATGATGACCCTTATTTATTTATTTATTTATTCGACTTGTATGCCACCTGCACTCTGCACAACCTTTTCAGGGTTACCTAGGTACAAAGGCACTGGGCATGGCTACACTGACAACAACTGCTTTTGAATCAGGTTTTGCATAATTAAAATTGATTTGAAAAATCCAAACTACATAACACATGGAGAAACCCACTCTTCTTTTTTTTTTGCCACAAAATGATTTTTTTTATAAACTTAACACGCTTATGAAATCGATTCTTTATGTATTGCTTCGGGCAATGTGAACACTCCTGTCGTATTAAATACTGCCTTTGTGGATGGCTATGGGTTTTGGAAGTAATGTCACTACATCACTTGAAATTTATTTTAAAAAGATAAAGAGAGAAATGCATGCATTCCAAAGGGTACTTGAAAACTGAAGACATAATCTTAGAATTACAGAGCTGGAAGGGACCCCTATGCATCCTTGAGTACAGCTGTGTCAAGGAGGCACAGTGGGGAACCGAACTCCCAACTTCTGGCTCCTCAGCCAGATACCCAGACCACTGAGCTATACAGCACAACATTGAAATCAAATGGGAAAGAGAAGGTTGCAATCACTGGCGATTCGCCGGGATCAGCAACAATGGAAACGGTGCAGTCTGCAAACATACTGGTTAATGAAACGATTTAAAATCTCCCATGCAGTTTCCCAAAGTGGTTTTAAGTACCTACTTTATATCAGAGTAATAATTTCAAAGTGAATGCACACAGGGATATAAAAACCACATGATTGAAAATCGATTTAAAATACGTCGGAGCAGAAACGGATGCAAATCGGCAGTGTAACCATACCCACTGTTAATCTCTTGGGAAAAACCAAAGTGCTGGCAATCCAGGCAGGGCCTAGTGGGTCAAAACTGCAACTTGGAAGACCATCAAGCATGTCGGTGAGACAGGTCACATTTTAAGTTAAAAAAAACCACCTGGTCTCTTGGCACCTTAAAGGTTAATAAGTTTTATCTGGACTACACTTTTGTGAACTGTAGCCCACTGCTTCAGCTTTATGCCAGATAAAACTAATTCATTTGAGGTGCAACAAAACTCTTCGCTTGTGCTGCAACGGATTTGAAAAGGCTATCCTCTTGTATATTTTAAGGAAGTGGTCCCCAACCTTGGGCCTCCAGATGTTCTTGGACTTCAACTCCCAGAAATCCTGGCCAGCAGTGGTGATGGTGAAGGCTTCTGGGAGTTGTACTCCAAGAACATCTGGAGGTCCAAGGTTGGGGACCACTGTAATTTAAGAAACATCCTAAAACTGCTGCTCCCAGTATTGCTGGACTGTGGCTGACATTATTGCTGGCCAACGTGCAAGATCTGTTACCACTGCCCATACTGGCTGGGATGCTGGAGGTTGAAATCTGTCTCGGGAACGGAAATACGGAACCTCTACCCTGAAGAAATAGGCATCCGTGGCTCCATAAACCCACCTTTTTCCTTGCTACACATCCTCAGTTCTTACGAAGAATGCACATTTAAGCAGCTCATTAGTAGCAGACTGAAATAAGCAGTGGGTGGTGAAGTGAGGAACAAGCCACCAGGGAAGTCATTCCGGTAGGTAGCAGTATGGGTGACTTGTCTCCTTCATATTAAAAACTATTAATAAGCTGAAACACACATGTACTCCAGGCTAAAATATGTACACTAAACATCACTGCATAGAATAAGGGCCTTAGACCTATGGCGTCTGTCTTGCCTCCTGTAAAGTATAATTTTATTCATTATCAGGCTGTACATATATATGGTATTTCACAAACTGAGCTCATGTAAGCAGGCTGTTGAGAGGATGTGTTTAGCACGCTGTAAAAATACATACACACACAATCAAAAAAAGGAACGCACATCCAAAGGACAGCCACACACAAGCCTGCCTCTCAGCTGCTCATTAAATTCAGGTGATTTGAGGGTTGTTTGGCATGCATGTTGCTGGCACGCATGCAGAGTTTATGGTAACAAGCAATTTGCAGCTCAGCTTGCAAAGTTCTCATTTAGGAAAGAGCGCTTTAAAAAAACAAGAAGAACAAGAGAGGATAATAGACCGAAGTGGAGAGAAAAAACATCAGCTGACTTGAAGTCTGATAACAGGGTTGAACTCCTAAGGACATGTGGAAACGGGACCTCGAGTTGCCTTAATCAAGGCATTTGAAGCTCTAGCCCAGACCTCACTGGTCTTTACCTAGCCTTTGAGTGTTGGACTACAGCCTCAGCCAGCAACGGCTGACAGTTACAGGTGACGGCAGTGGCCATCCAAAGCTTCACAGGAGCTAGGTCGGGGAAGACTTGTGATCTATGGGGACTATGTCTACTGAAGCTTTTGACC